AGTCTTTGCCATTTCAGTGCCAACACTTAACTCCCACTTGCTTGGTTTGAAAAGCGTGGTATAATCCTTGTTCACTCACAATTCATAGCACACCAAATAGCAACAGCTGTATCTGCAAAATATCCTCAGAACCTGACCACTCCAAACTACTTCTGCCCGGGTCCAAGCTAGGGTGTGCCCTGGGATTGGAAGAGCTAGTCTGCAGCTCTGGCCTCCCGTTTCATGCACGCCCCACATACGCACTACCTTTCGTCTTTCCCAAGCATGGTATTCATTTTAGAACAAGTTTCACCAGGTCACTCCTCTGTTCCACTGTGGTCTTCCTAACTTGTTGAGACCAAATCTTACAATCTTACATGATCTGACCCCTGCTTACCTCTCCAACCTCATTTCCCACAGCTCTTCTGCATCCTCATTCCACTCCAGCAACACTGGTCTCCTTGCTTTGCAGGAAACACGCAGGCATAACTCCACTTTGCACGTACTGTCCCCACTGCCTGACATGTTCTTCTGCCAGGTATTCATGAAGCTCAAGACCTCAACTTTCTGGGGTCTTACATAAACAGCTTCTTGGTAAGACCTTTCCTGACCCCTAATTTTAAATCACACTGCTCCCCAACACTGCCTCTTCTCCACACTTATCATATATGACAATACACTATAAATTTTATTTGTTGCTTTTGTCTCTGTCTCTAGAATTTAGGACTCACGAGGGTCTTTCTTCACCATTTTCTCCCTAGTGCTTGGATTAGTATCTCATATGTTAGGTATCCAACAACATTTGATGAAATGTTTCATTGAATATTCTGCCTTAAATGTTGTCTCATCATGACATAAAGTTCCACATCTCCAATTTTCTTCTTCCCTTATATGCTACAGTTCAGTTTATTGAGCCACAATCTGCTTTCCTTACGAACTAGAAATGTCAAGGGTCACTAAAAACTTGAAACAAGGGCCAACCTCATTCTTTAAGTGCTTCAGATTCTATCTCCCACCTACGTCTCTCTCAAATTTCTCTTCTCAGCAACTCTGGAACCACACAGTCCAAAGTATAAAGCCCATATGCTTCATCCTGACAAATAAGGCTCCTCTCTGATCTGACTGAAACCCACTTTTAGAGCCACATCCTGCAACAGGATTCTTCTGCACCATATTCTCCAGCACCCTGCTCACTACACGTCAACCAGGGTTCCTCACACTTGTTTCGGCTTTTACTACTCTTCATAATTGCCACTCACTAGTCTTCAAGGAACAATTCCTTACTCGTTTTACAGGACCCAACTCAAGGGTTAAACTTTTGTAATGCTATCAAAATAACTACAGCTAACAACCACTGAGTGCTTTCTATTCATATGACCCAAATAGCTGACTTGCATTTTATCACTGAATCCTTAACAAGGCTATTAGAAAAGCACTAATAATCTCCCCCTTTATACAAAGATAAAATGAGGCTTTAAAATGTTAGGAAATGTGTCTTAAGACTTAATAAGCAAATAAGACAGGATTTGATCTTAGGTTTATCTAACCCCAAAGTCTAAGTGACAAAACACTAAATGAACAGCTGAACTGAACTTCACATGAGTATTCTAGTCTTTATTAAGTTGAGGTCATTTTGAAACCATTAATTTTATTGTTGTAAGACAAGAAGTACAAACCACAACTCTAAGAAGCAGCCACTTTACAATTACTCAGGTAATAAGTCAAGGAATTCACTCTAAAACATTATTTTGGTTTGCAGGAAAGCATATAATTTTTGTGGGCATATTTACGTGATGAGAAAAACTACTAATAATGCCATAATTGCCAGTTTACAGCACATACAAAGTTACAGGCAAGATAAAAGACAAGAGCCTTGCATTCACATGGCACATAGGCCACATAAAGATCATCTGATATGTCTAACATGACCTCTGGAATGTTAGTTACATCAGGGCTCTATTTCCACCCAATAATTATAATTCCTCTAGTCTTTGCCCTCCTTGGCAGAGGTTCATTTCACTATCCTTTGCATTATGAGCTGCTTTGTCGGGTTTGCATATAGCATCCCACCCAAAGGTGACTTTGATGGAGCCTCTGAAGGCATCCCCAGCAGGTCTCCATAGAAATGGCCCCAGGGTTGTCTCCAGAGTGGCCCTGCTTGAGTTGCCATGGTAAACAACCAGGATAGATTGCTCTATTCAGTTCTCTGCCAGGGTCGCCATGGTGACTACAAAGGAGGGATCCTTAGAAGGACCTCACAAGGGCACGTTTCCATGGTGACCCTATCCTGCATATTTCTAAGCAACTTCCCTTTGGTTGTTCTGAGACCAATCACAGCAGGTTCATTTTGAGAGTAACCCTGGAAGGTTGCTTCCAAAGATATCATCATAACATAGGTATTTCAAAGTGAGGTATATAAACAAACGACATGAAAATGTAAGTGGAACCATTCACAAATCATCAAATTAGTGCCTGTGCATTTTAGGATCTGTTTTTGATAGATAACAAAAAAATACTTGTAATGTCTTTGTTAAACATCTCTTTTTCAGATCTTAATAAAGATTATCTTACAGAATAATGCAGATAATTAAAATTTCAAATTTCTCCAATCTCACAGCATAGAATCTAACTAGGTAAAAAATACTTTATAGTGGACATGTCTCTCTCTCACACACACACAATGAAAGCAAAAACACAGATGGCTCATCAGGTTATAACGGGATATCAAGGAAATTTTTATAGAGCAAAAAGACAAAATATTTGCAAGTCAAATGAAAAGAAAAAATGTGTTTTTTAGTTGAGTTGGGAAAGCCTAGCCATATTTGGGCCTAAGCTATTTTTTCCTGTATTTCTGTGGTTGGAACAATCCCAACTACTCTTCCTTTCAATTTAAAATACGAATATAAGCCATTCTGAACAGATGCTTGGTTTTTAAGCCATTTTACTATTCTCCTGAAACTTTAAAATACTGTACTTTTTTCTAGTATCTAGTCAAGGGCAAATTTTATCTAATCACAAACTTCAACATCTCATGAATTTAAATATCTTTAAAAACTATCTAACAAATTAAAAAATTCTACAGTTCCAATGATACAATTATAATTTTGTATTACATGTGTTCACCCATTTTTGTTCCTTCCAATTGATCCTTTAAGTTAAAATATATATATGTACATATATACATATATATTGCTTATTGTAGAGTTTCCCAAGTGGCGCAGTGGTAAAGAATCACCCTACCAATGCAGGATGTGCAAGAGATGAGTGGGTTGCCGGGTTCCATCCCTGGGTTGGGAAAATCCCCTGGAGCAGGAAATGGCAACCCACTCCAGCATTCTTGCCTGGAAAACTTCAAGGACAGAGGAGCCTTGTGGGCTGCAGTCCATGGGGATGCAAAGGGTCGGACATGACTGAGCAGCTGAGCACATCACTTACTGTACTGAAAAGGTTAATCTTGGTTTTCCTCTTTTTTCTCCTCTGTTGAGGTTAAAGCAAATGATTTTCCCCTCAAGCACTGATTTCATCTGTTCTACATTTTGCTTCTCTTTCACAGATTCCATTCTCCTACTCTGTCCATAACAGCGTACCACTCCCCACTCAAGTTCTATTCAGGAGAATAAACTTGAGTTTGAAAAATAAAGATAGTTAAGAAAGATGAGGATAATTCACAATCATTATTTAGTGAAATCTCAACATTTAACACAAAGGCTGATTTTGTAGAGACACTGTCTCAAGCCTTCAACACGTTTTATCAATCAGAGCAATCACTGCAATTCTTATTCGTTCACAATTATTTATTCATTGTCCACTATGTACCAGGCATTGTTCTTTGGGCTGAGAATGCTTCAGGAAACAATTAAAAAATTCCTACCCTTTAAGTATTTAGATTATGGACAGGGGAAAACAGAAAGAAAGAGAAGATAAAAGGAAAATCAGTAAGACTATCACCTTTTGTGTCAGAAAATTATTAAAGCTAGAGAAAAAATTAGAGCAGGGAGGACAGAGGTTAAGCCCCAAGCCAAGTTGGGATGGGCAGCAATAGCACTATGGATTAACAGGGAGGGTTTCAAGGATTCACCCATTCAGATGACATAAGTGTGCTCTAACTTCTTTAATTAAAAATAAAATTAGGGAAAGCTCTTCCATAGAAAACTCAATGAAAGTTAACAGAGTAATGAGCAATTTTTTCCTACATTTATAGTTGCTCTCCGAGAGGCAGCATGGTCTGAGGCAGGCAAGTGATCCTATCACCTCCAGTGCCACCACTGTTTCAAGAACTGTGCAAATTTGGACAAGTTACTCTACCTTTCAAGCCTCTATCTCAATTTTAAAATGATAATAACAATTCTGATTGGATAGTATTACTTTGAAAATACACAAAGACAATAAAATATAAATACTAACCTATTCTGGGTGAAAATATAATGTCTGAAAATTGCTTTTGAATATTTCAAAAAAAATGAGAAAAGAGGTTAAAAAAATAAACTGGGCAAAATGTTGGGAATTAATGAAACCCAGTGATAGATATATGAGTTTATTATATTATTAGATCTTTTTCTATGTTTAAAAATTTCCATAAAAAAGTATTTTATGGAAAGAATTAAACTTGAAAACAAATATACTTCCTTTGTAAAGATGTTCATAATAATTAGAAAATATATATAAGAACACCAATTTAGCTTATAAAATTTTCTTATAAAGCTAGTAAAAAATAGATTTATTTACTGAGTACTTACTAACCATCTGGAACAATGTTAAGTTCTTTTTTCCATAGCTTATTCAAACATTCTAATTTTACAAAATTAACTTCATACTTTACTCACTTGAAGAAAAAAATGTAAGACAGAAAGGCAGAAAAGCATCTTAAGTTTACAGACTCACATGGTACGCAACGTATAATCAATTTTCGGAAGGAATTTTAGCATCAGTTACTGAATGCTTAAAACAAGCGTGTAATGGAGCTAATAAAAATCTTAGACAATGAATTCTACATGATTATAACAGGAAAATTAAAAACTTACCAGATCAGTATCTGCCTTTTTGGACGTCAAAGCTTCAACTTTGGAATCCAGTTCTGTCTGTATTTGGTCTCTTCTTTTCATGACAGCCTTTGTATTAAAACACAGGAAGGAAATAGGCTGTACTTTGTTTTAATAATCTTTGTATAGCAAAAATATACACTTGCGAATACAAGTAGCATCTCTTCCCCAGGCCATCAGTCATCTGGGGGTATAATGCCTTAAACTGTTTTTAATCTCTAAAAGCTAAACAGATAGCAAGTACTTAAAAGAAACTTGTTCATAAATCTTCTATTCATTTTCCCAATGTACATCTTACTGATTTAAGTATTTCATGTACAAAATACAAATGTTTTGGTGGTGTACTCTAGGCACATATAGTTCTTCAAAAAGACCAAAGAATAAAACAAATTAACAACAACAACAAAAAAAAAAATCAGTAGAAGCACTGAAAATACATGCTATGGTGTAAACTAGTTGCAGTTGTGAAGGCATATGCACCATGCATCTGAAAGTATCTACAATCAGCTTTCTTACTGGACTCCAAAAGCTAATATCTAAACAAAGTCAATTACTGTGGGGAATCAAAATGGAAGTGTGCATTCACATCTTAAGATTTTATTTTAGCTTAAAATATATAAGTGTTAACCAATTAGCCAAGCTTTTAAGGAAGAAATATGGCCTCTACTCTGACTGATAGGAGTTCCACCTTATTTACTTGAATAATCATGATTATATGTTTCAGTTAAAACACCCCTGTGAAGGCTTTTAAGAACAGAATTCATCTACATCTTTTTTACAATGTCTTTCCCTTGGTGACTCACTTTTCTTCTAGACAGTCTACCTGGACTTTGCAGATGCAAAGACGTGTTTGTACCCATCTTTCACTGGTTTTCATAGTATTAATTAAGTAGCGAAATTATAATAATGAACACAAGTTGCCTAAACATTTCAAGGCAAAAATAAACTAACTCTGGGTAAGCAAACAGTTCAACCAGAAGAGTGGAGTTGTAGGACGTATAAAAGAAGAACCTTAATGCGGTACAGGTCTTTTGGGTGTTTTCAGAGGAAGAGAAGAACCTAAACCACGAATCAGTTAAATGGAACCAAACAAGCTGGCTCTATAGCAATTGTATGAAAATTGAGTCATTAAGAGTAGAAAGCTGACTTTTCAGGTGGTGCTGGGGGTAAAGAATTTGCCTGCCAATGCAGGAGATGTAGAGATGAGGGTTTGATCCCTGGGTCGGGAAGATCCCCTGGAGGAGGACATGGCAACCCACTCCAGTGTTCTCGCCTGCAGAAGCCCTTGCACAGAGGAGCTGGGTGGGCTACAGTCCAAGGGGAGGCACAGAGTTGGACACGGCTGAAGTGACTGAGCACAGCACAGCACACAAGGATAAAGAGCATCCTGAAAATAACTCACCCTAGTTTTGTGCCTGGTGGAGTCACTCTTAAAATGCTCAAAAGAGATTAACATCTCTCTTGTGTTCAAAGAAATGAATAGAAAATTCAATTGTCACAAACCCTTTTATATTTACTTCAGTGTTTAATTGCCATTAATGTCAGGAACTTCTTCCTTTTTCTAACCCAAACGGCACATACAATAATTTAGACCCATTACGATCTGCTTCCATCAATATGAAATATTGTGCTTCATATAGATAGAAATATTTTAAGTAAGAGGTGGCTTCAGAAGACAACTAGTGAAAACAGCAAAAATTTAATCCTTTTGTCAATCCTTATTTTAGCTCACACTGAAGAAAATATTCCAACATAAAACAGAAACAGAGCTGCAATGTAAGTGCTACTGATTATACCCTAGGAACCTACAAAATAATACAATCAAATGAGGACTTATAAAATAATTCAATTCTGGTTGCTATTATCATTTTTCCACACCTTTAATGATACATGATTTAAACTGCATAATTTCCATCTTGACATAATAAACAGCAAAACACATCTAATGAAGCGAAAATAATACTATATTTTTAATGATAAAAATCAGATCTCTTTGAATAGCCACACAAGAGGGAGATCAATAATGAAGTAAACCAATGGAATGTAGTCAAGGGAAATAGATGAAGGCAAAGAGCAGGTGCCTCAACAGTGAAACACTAGAGGGCTTTGGGAAGCAGAGATGATGTGCTTATAGGAGGACCCCAGTAGAGTCAAATAACAGCTGAAGCCTGAAATACCTTCAAAATATTTAATGATTCTGTGAAGGAAAATCTAAACATAATAAACATGAAAGAAGCAGATATCATGCTGAAAGTTTGAGAGAGTTTTTTTTTTACCGAGACAAGCAAAAAAAATATTTAAATGCTCCCAAATCAAGAGTATATGAAAACAGAAACCAGACATAGATTCAAGCATAAATGGCAAAAAAAAAAAAAGGACTACCAGTGAATGCAAACTGACTTCTTCCACCACTGTCACCTACAACGCCAGAAAGCTGAGGGTGTCAGTTCAACTGTGTGAGGTATTATGCAGAGAATACAGGATGAAAAACATTAGCTTTGCGGATAACATCACAAAATCCCAAATATCTAGAGACCTAAACTTGAACTTAGGAGGTTACATGTAAAACTTTGACATAAAAGGAATAAAAGCCTTTTCAAGTCATGAAAGAAAAACATGGTAATTTGGAGGATTTCTTTTTAGAAGCATCCAGAAGACAGAACAAACATCAAGATCCTACTCAAGTACTTTCTACGTAACCATACAAACAAAACAAAACATACAAAATCCCTATATTATAGGGATTTTCACACAAATATGAAAACAAAATGTAAAAAAATGTATATTCATATAAATCCCTATGTTATAGACAATAAGAAAAGACCTTATTTTTATCATTGTGCACATGCTCCTTTACACAAACATTAAGAATGTGGATATCATCCTTGAAATGTACTAGAAGCAAGAAAGCAACTTGTCCATGAAAAGAAATTTCAAAAGTGCTGAAAATTCTTAAAGGAAAATTTTAAAGTGCTGGAAAAACTAATCATACTCTCTATGTAAATCTTGACTGAGGATGCGTTATAAACTGCTGTTACTACTGTTGAATATGCCTGTCTTTTATTAACATATTCTTCCACTCATCAATTCATTCATGCAGTAAACAAATATTTATGAGCATCTACATGCAAACAATCTTTCTATGAGAGGAAGATAGTGGTGAACAAACAGAAACAGCAGCTGCCTTTATAAGGCTTATAAGCAAGTCAGGGCCTCAGGTGGAAGTATAGTTAGGACTCCTTACCATTAACATTTCACTATAAAGCACATACTCATGTACAACAGGAAGCAGAGCCTCTGAGAGTCCGGACATCCGTTTTTCAGTGGCCTTACAGCATTCGTCAATGCAGCTGGCAACACTTTTTAGAGTATCAGCCAGATCTTCTTCCGATGCCGACCACAGAATATGAATTGGGCCATATTCTTTCATTTCATCTAAATACTCTAAAAAATAATAAGTTCTTCAATTTATAATGTGTTCTTTCAATATATACATCAACATAATTTCAATCATATACTTAAAATATATTAAAATTCATACATTTGTAAGTTTCAAAATCCCTATATTATAGACAATAGGAAAAGACCTTATTTTTCTCATTGTGCACATGTTCCTGTACATGAACATTAACAATGCAGATATTGTCTTTCATTAAATTGACCTGTCCTCCCAGTCTGCTCAGACCCGTCCTTGAATAAAAGTTTTCCAGGTGTAATCAATAATAACATGCTTTTCCATTGTCAAAAGTATCCTGGCTTGGGCAATAAATTATATGATCACTGTATCTATTGTATCATGGACTTCTGCCTACCAAACAAACTATACCTGAGTATCTCATTGCCAACATGATGTAAACAAAACATGTCTTCTTTTCCTCTTTTCCTGTTTACATATCCTACTTACTGGTAATTGCTTCCAGAGATCTAAGCAAAACATGTGGAGTCATCCTAGACCCTAAATTTACACCTACAAAGAGACAGTCAATCACTTCCAACCTTTCTTAATCTGTATCTATTTATCTACCCACCCATCCATCCATCTACCCACCCTTCCACCAATCCTCATTTGTACTGTCATCAGCATCTCTAACCTGCACTACTGCAAGAGACTTCTAACAATTCTCCCTCTCAATTTTGACACAGTATATGAACATTAAAGCCTCTTAGCTGAATTAGAAAGTCCTATAAGTCCTTCAGTCCCTACCTCGCCTTTCCAGGTCTAACTCCTGAAAATCTCCCTCACAGGTATTTTAATTCAAGGCAAAATAACAGCTCATTCATGAATAGCATGATTTTTCCTAACTTAAACTCTGCACATGTCTTTTAGTTGCCCTCTACCATTTCTATCATCTGACAAACTACTTCTAACACTTTAAGTCGTAAAAGAAGTAAATCTTTTCTGTTTCTGTTCCAAAGGAGTGGTAGATGCTTTGTCCTCAATGAGTGTCATAATTTTATAGTTCTATTAAAGCCTATCATAATTTAATACTATTATCTCACTCTATTATAACTGCTTGCATAACTCACATACTCTGAGGCCATATGCTCATTACAATAGGGCAAAGTCATTATTTTTTTAATCTCAAAGCCTAATACATAAGGTATTTAATAAATATTTTCATATCAATGAAAGAATGAACAAAAGACTATTCAGTGCTTGATAAGCCATTTATCCAAAAATTTGGATTTCATTTTAAAATCTGAATATTTTTATACGTTTGCTTTCACACTATCAATATTTAATGACAGATGGCTTTTATGGTAGAGAATGCATGAATGGTGAGATTTTTTGGTCTAATATCCACATAATTAAATTCTCTATATTTAATCACCTTACTAGTCATTGGGGTTAGTTGAAATATGTCATATTGCTCTAAATTAAACTTTTTTACTAAACTATTAAATTTTTCAAAAGTTTATATGATCAGGTAAAGTAAAAAAGACTTTAAAGATTTAAAAACAATAGAAATACTAGTTATCACCTAAGGAAGATACTAGGTTTGACAACCACTAGGATCCTTCCACGGAGGAGGCAATGGCACCCCACTCCAATACTCTTGCCTGGAAAATCCCATGGACAGAGGAGCCTGATAGGCTGCAGTCCATGGGGTCGCGAAGAGTTAGACTGACTGACTTTACTTTCACTTTTCACTTTCATGCATTGGAGAAGGAAATGGCAACCCATTCCAGTGTTCTTGCCTGGAGAGAATCCCAGGGACAGGAGTGCCTGGTGGGCTGCCATCTATGGGGTCGCACAGAGTCAGACACGACTGAAGTGACTTAGCAGCAGCAGCAGAATCCTTACAATTCGCATCCTCCTGATCTAGGCCTATCTTTTATTTTAGGTAATGGCCATGTAACACTATCCCTTCTCCAGGGGATTTTCCCTTTGGACCAAACCTGGGTCTCCTGCATTGCAGGTAGATTCTTTATTGTCTGAGCACCAGGGAGGCCCCGATATTTCTAGAAAAGAAAACATTCGCCTTTAATTCTTTTCTTAATTTCTGCATATATCAAAGTGTGTTGTTTACCCTGTGAAGTATTTATTTTAATATAAAGAGCTTCCTTGAAATTCTAAACTGTGCTTATATAGCACTCAAATTGCATCTGTATGGAAACAGTTAATGAGCTGCACTGTAATTTGTCTGTTAATATATCTGTTTCCCCAACTAGACTGTGAACTCAGGGACAGCTACTATTTTAACCCTCCTTCAATCTTCAGCACAAAACGTTAGCACATGATGTGGTCAATACAAATTTGCCTAATTAGGGAACACAAAACAAAGTCACAGAAAAAAAAAAAATAGAATAAAAAGCAAGTCAAAAGAGAAATGACTCATTATGATAACCAAATTCTTCCTGATTTAAATATGAAAGAAATGCCTTATATATTTTAGACTCCCAGAACTCCAAAAAAAAAAAAAAAACCCATCATTTTAAATGAAATCTTGATAAATGAGCTTTACATTTGAAATACCAAGAAATCCCTTAAATTTCTCCTTGAAACTGAGAGCTCAAATTTATAAAGTCCACCACAAAAACCCAGTTTTCCTTTTGAGGATTTCACAAATACTAGAGCAGATCAGAGATTTGAAAACTAGTCCCTTGCACCAGTAAATATAACACATAATGATGATATTTGATATTCTATAAAACTCTTAAATGTCAAAAGTTTCCAGAGGTCTCTTTAAATTGCCGTACCACTTAACTATCCATCAAGAATTCACTGAATAGAATTGGAATCACTGAACCTAGTTAAAACAATTATCTTCTTGATTTCTTAAAAATTACAAATGGTAAATACAAAGACAGACCAAAAAGGCATAAATCAAATTATTGTCAGACTTCACCATCTATTTTAAATGTAGGTGAATGCAATTTTAAAAAATCAGCAAAAACTCATCATAGAATTTATAGAATTCACAGAATCATGAAATAAAATATCACTTGAAATAGGAAAAGAGATCTATTTTAAATCTCTCTGCCATTGCTTGGACAGGTCTAATATAGAGTTCCTGCACCTCCTCCCTCACCCCCCCGCCCAAGCAAATGTGGAAACCCTATTTCCTGAAACATCACTTCTTTGATTAAAATGATGGCCCATGTTGAACACTTGAGACTGACTACACCCAAAATATTAAGCTCTTTATCCCTATTATTTATAAATGGAAGTAAGACTGTGTGTGTGTGCTCAGTCATGTCCAACTCAATGCAACTCCATGGACTGTAGCCTGCCAGGTTCCTCTGTCCATGGGATTCTCCAGATAAGAAGGCAAGAATAGTGGGGCAGGGTGCCATTTCCTCCTCCAGGGGATCGTCCCAACCCAGGGATCAAACCTGGGTCAGGTCTCTTACACCTCCTGCATTGGCAGGCAGGTTCTTCACCACTAATGCCACCTAGGAAGCCCCTGTGTGCTATGTCATGCCAGTCATGTCTGAATCTACAGCCCCAGGGTCCGTAGCTTCCCAAGCTCCTCTGTCCATCAGATTCTCCAGGCAAGAATACTGGAATGGGTTGCCATTTTCTCCTCCAGGGGATCTTCCCAACCCAGGGATTGAAACTGCATCTCTTATGTCTCCTGCATTGGCAGGTAGATTCTTTACCACTGGCATAGCTGGGTATACTCCAATAAAAATTTTTAAAAAGAAGAAAGAGAGAGGAATGCCGAGCCAATGCCCAGGTTGGGAAACTGAAACTGTCAATGATGAACTGCTGGAGTCTTAGTATGGACAATTCAAGGAGTTAAAAACTCCAGAGAAACCCAGCCATGGGTGAAATCTTACAATATTGTCAGATTTACCTCCAAAAGTCTGCACAGTAAATATTAGGTAAAAATTACTTCTGCTTTCTGCAGGAGGTGAGAAAATAAGCCGTTTTGTAATAACCAGGGTACTCTACCTAATAGCCAGGGTTCTTCTTAACAAGGCCTTCCCTCGTGGGAAACTGGTTACCCAGAGCATAACCTGGTGGGGTATCATCAGAGCCTAACTGACCTGGTAGCTTCCCTGGTAGCTCAGTGGGCAAAGAACCTGCCTGCAATGTGGGAGACCTGGGGTCGATCCCTGGGTTGGGAAAATCCTCTGGAGGAGGGCATGGCAGCCTACTCCGGTATTCTTGCCTGGAGAATCCCCATGGACAGAGGAGCCTGGTGGTCTACAGTCCATGGGGTCACAAAGAGTCAGACACGACTGAGTGACTAAACACAGTTGAGCTGGAGGAAGGGAAACACCTAACTTGAGCCCACCCTGGTCATCCTGTCTCAACTAACAGGGGGAAGCAAAAACCCTGAACTTCTGTGAGGCTCACAGTGGTCCAGAGGCACAGATTCACGAAAGGACTGAGACCTAACCACAGATCTCCAGAAGGCTTCCCCTCCCCATACCTCGCCACCACATTACTAAAGGCCTATTCACTTTTATGAGTACATCATGTCTGGCTACCAGGGGGGAAAAAAAATTACAAGACATATTAAAAGGCAAAAAACAATTTAGAGAGAGAGCAAGCATCAGAACCAGATGTGGCAAAGATGCTAGAATGAGAGCATGATTTTAAAACAACTATGATGAATATGCTAAGGGCCCTAATTAGATACAGTAAACAGCATGCAATAACAGATGGGCACTGTAAGCAGAGACAGAAATCCTAAGAGTGACCAAAAAGAAATGCTAAGTTGATCCTGCCTCACTACACCAACAAATGGAAAAGATTCATCAGAAATGCAACAACTTTGAGATCACAGTTTAGCAGTTCTACATACCCCGTTCTTCCTTGTAGATTCTCTGAGATATTTTATCTATCAAATTTATTTTATGGCTAAATATTTCAATGAAGTTATTCATTTCCATGAACTCCTCAGGGCGACTTTTAACTCCTTTCATTGACAGTGCAACCGCTCTGACTGACTGTCCCATCCTGCTGAGTAACCCAGGCCCTTGCTTCTTGTGAGAAGAGAATTCCTAGGAACAAAAAAAAATAAAACATCAGTGATGAAGCAAACAATAATATTCTAAGATCCAACAACAAAAAAAAGAAATCTAATCAGAAGAATAAAGATGATAAAAAGGTTCCATATACATCTTTTTTATTTCATGTTAATTTGAAGCAGATGAGTTAGGGCACACAGTCTTTTCTCTAAGTCTCAGTCTCCTAGATAACATTCTTTTCCAAAGTGCTCCTGTAAAACATGTAATCATGTTTTCTCAGATCCTTCAATCAATAAGGTATAAGAGAGGGAACTGCACTTACAGAGATACTGGAGAAGATATGAAGAATGATATGAGTTGAAACCTGTATTTTATTAACAGGAATTTAGAAAAATGATTGAGAAAAATATCTCTCAGGGTCTAAGCTACTCCCTGGGAAGAAAAATTGGGAAACTTTGTTAATCTTTTAGTTATAATAACGACTAGCATTTATTAAAAGCTTAATGTTATTGGCACTATACCTGCATGTTTATATACATCACTCACAATAACACTATGAAACAGGTTCTATTATTATCCTCATTGTACAGAAGAAAACAGAAGCAAAGGAAGGTTAAAGAAGCTTGCTCAAGGTCCAAGAGCAATGAATTAGTGGGTAGGGATTGAAGTTCTGGGAGTCTGACCCCAAAGGCTTCATTGCTAAGCACTAACTGGCTCTGCTTTCTTAAAGTCACTGGAATAAGTTGGGAAATAAACTCCCTGACTATAGCTCTGCAACCAACTTAACTGGATAAACTGTTATACTTTCTCAATTGACTGGCTGTCTTTGGAGAAAGATTTTTAATAAAATATGTAATAGATGGTTCACAGTTAATTTAGGAGAGTTTGCTACAGATTTGCAAAGTAGAAATGTTATAAAGGATACACTGCACAGAAGTATCCCTTGAGAAGTGTGGCCTACTAAAAAAGAACACCAAGAAGGACAAGGGATTCTGACAATGGGTACAGCACTTACTGAAACATAGGTTTGAGATCAAAGACGATCTGGAGAAAGATATGTTATTTAATATTTGGATAAATAATACATAATAATATTTTTATCTGTGGATTTGGCAGTCAGCATTGTTACTGAAAAGTAACAACGTCAAAGTGTAACATAAACATTCACACAGGCACAAAAAATCTATAAATAGCAATGTTGACTACCAGACCTATAGATAAAAACAATATTATGTAATATTCACCCAAATATTAAATAATATATTATCTTTATAAGATCTTCTTTCTTGAAGGTCTTACCAAAAATAACATATAAATTTGTTAATTCCCAAGTCAGTATGATTTTGTGTGCAAAGAATATAATAACAAATGCCACCCTTGACCAGGCAGTACATCTATTCAGGAGGGCTACTGCATCATTTGATAGAGTAAATATTATCAGAAAGAGCACAAGTCACAACTAGCAAGCTGTTACTGCAACTGCTGACTGTAGAGAATGTTTCTAACAGCTTCTAGGGGTCTGGAGTCAGGCCACAAATTTTTCTCACATAAGTCACACAGGGCTTCCAGACACCAAGTACTGTCAAAATTGAGATGAATCACTTCTTTAGCTTCAACACTTTGGCAACAACTGAGAGACAGAAAACTCAACATTGGTCAGTAAGTATTTGATATTGACAGTCTGTCCTACCTATCATCTTTCTTGGTGAATTTATCTTAATAGAAGGAAAGAAAAAAAAATAAAAGGAATATAAAAGGAATCTGTATTAGAAATTAGATCCTCTAAAACTAGGTAATTGAAGGAAAGGTAAGAAAATTATATTAGCTATTAATCCATTCATCCATCTATTAATAAAAAACTTTTAACTTGAAAAACTCTGACTCATTACTACTCAAAACAGTGTCAATTTTAAAATGTTTTTATATTTTCAGTATTAGCTATATGCAAGGAGTACCCAGGCAGTTTAAAAAATATATCAGCTACCAAGAGAAATATGAGGATGTATATATGAGAAAGGTATATTATTTTCATAATGTTCGTATGTAGACCTGATACAGGGTTGTATCTGAAGGATATTTCTTAAATGTTTAAAACTCCATCTTAATTCAAGGTTACTACCACCTGATTTAAAAACGTAAATAGAGGAAGTATACAACCTACTACATGTACAAATACTGAAGGATTATATGAGTATAAATTAAAATTTTTTACCCAAGCTTCTGCAGTAAGAAAAATTTTAAAGTCTTCATTAAATGTTAAAGTCGGATGATCAGCAATTCGGTTCAAAAATTTGTGCAATGCCTTTCTGCGAGTCTCAATGAAGTCATCATTAAAGCGTTCCACCATTCCTTTCACTATAAACTTTTCTGGCAATGGCTAGGGCAAAAAAAATAAAAAGGTATCTGAGCATTTTGTGGCACAGGATTATAAGGAATTCTACACTTTTTCTTTTTGGAAGACTATTTGAACATGTGATCATTTCTTATAAAAATAATTTTTCAAAATTCACAATGCTAGAGCCAAATACCAGAAAATCTTAACACATTACAATAGTTTAAAAAAACAAATCTGTACATAGATTGAAAAGTTTAAAAACAAATGTTTCCCAGATAAATGAATTGCACTGAATCAAAGGTCTGAAATTGGGTGTTAAGACATTCTAATGATTCACAAGACAAAATGGCAGCTATTCCATGAAAAAAAAAAAATGTAAACGTACTGGAATAATCAGAGTTGGGTGTGCTTCTTCAAGTTTTTCTTTCAACCAAAGGAAATCTTGATAACGTCTCCTAACTTCAAATTCACTGGAGTCAAATTCCCCACGAGATGTCTGAAGAAAGTAGGAAAAAATAACAGCACATGCAATATAAGACAGAAGACATTTGCCTAATGTTATTTTAGACATTCTGAAATAAATGGGTCTCTAAGAAAAACTAACAAATTCTAATTATTCAGTGTTTGTCAGCCTGTACATTTTTTTTTCTTTTGCAGTCATCAATTCATGTAGCAGAAGCAACAAAGCAAACTTTCCAGTATTCCCAGAAAGAAAGCAAACATCACGCTCAAATTTAAAATCCAAACTGAAAAATCTGTCTCAGAGCCACCATCTGTCTTCCACAAGATTTTAACTACTATTATCTTTGGCATGACTTTCTTGCTAACAAGAAAGTGTGTTCTGACTTTAGGTTTCCAATATATTTCATTTCTCAAGATGATCAAAATTCAGAATTTGAGGAAAGTCCTATTTTTGCAACTTGGAAAAATAACCTGAACATAACTGAGAAAAAAAATGTTTCCTTGGAATATGCTCAAATGAATTGCTTTGCTAAAATTTGCTTTTAGTATTTGAAAATTCTAACATTAACCAGAGTGATTTTACCACTGTTTAAAAATGTTATTAATGGAAATTTAATGTGAAAAGCAAATCTTTCTGTCATTCCTCAAGGAATTTTGAACTATATGCCTAAACTCCTAAAAGTTAAGCAAACACATTAAAATATCTGTTCTCAACAAACCAGAATCTATTCCAACACATACGACAAGAAGAACATGGGCACAATATCAACCTCACCTCTATTACCTGAATTACAAGCCAAACACAAAAACAGCTTAGACAATGCACACTCACCTCTTATAAGAAAAAAAGTCACTTAAATCGTTTTTAAGAAAATTATACAGAAATATTGTTTGAGATTTTCCTGGAGGAGTAAATATGGAATAAATAACACATTACATTATTTCACACTCACCAGAATTATCAATCACCCACACAGATGAACACAATTGTAAAATTAAGCAGTTCAAGTCAAAATAAGATGCAATCTTAATTGTCATAAAATAAAGTTCACAAAAGCTACACTTGCCAAGGTTTATTCTCATAAAGTGAATGTTTAGAATATCATAAAATATATCTTAGTAAAACACACCCTTTTTAGTGGGAAAAAGTAGAGGTAAATGAGATGCAGAAGTCTAAGGAACTACATGTTCAAAAAAAACTACAAAATCTATTATGCAAAATGGTACAAATTGTGGAAGTGGTAAAAATAGGCCAACTAAATCTAGTGGAAACACAGTTTAACAATATATATACAAGTTGGTATGTGTACATATATATGCAAATACACACACATGCATACATACCCATATACACAAAACATGGTTAAAGTAACTCGTTAAACAATACTCACTGACACCTATTCATACCAGGTACATGTGTACAGGTTTACTACCAATTTCCAAGAAAAAATAAGTTGCCATAATTAACAATAAAAACACTCAAACACTGTGAAGTTAAAATAAGACTGAACATTATATGTCCTTAAGAATTCCCAAAACTTCAAGTTGACACAAAGAAACTTGTATAGATTCCAGCAACAAGAAGATATAAAATCAAGTCAAATAATTGGTTGCTTCTGTCGTCATCACCCTGCCAGTGACTTAAGAGTTCTCTAACATAGCACAATAAAGAGAAGAAAGACAAGAATAAGTACAAACCTTGAGGACAGTGCATTCGTTCTTCCTACTCTAAGACTTCATTGGACTTCTAAAGGGTTATAAGTTACATATTATTTGTCCTCCAAAACAACTTTTTAGAACACAAGTCCTTTCTAAGTTGGAAATTTGTCACCAAATTTTCCTACCGTTTGGAAGCTTTATCTCTTTTCTAGTCTAGAATACATTTTCCCATGGAAGGTAAACCGCAAAGGGTGTTAAATTTTTCATGTCTGAACATAAGAGCCTGGGTACTTAAAGTTTAGGACTAAAAGACTATACCTCAAAATGCATTTATTCAGCAAATACTGACCTTCAGTCATGGGCAAATAGTTACTCTAAAATCTGAGGATTTAGAAAACTATTTTTCTGAGGGAAATGAACTTAGAATCAAGAATATACTTTAATCACCAACTACTGACACATGCCGGCAGACATTTATGAGTTTGTCTTCATGATGAGGATGTGAGAGGGCAAACCTTTATTAAACCTCTTGAGTTCTTACTCCCACATGTCCTAAGGCAAGGCACATCTCTAGATCTCTGAAACAAAGTATTTCTTCAGAGCAGTTACTTTGGATATTTCAACCTGGAGAATCAGGGTCATTTCTCATAAGGGGATGCCAGGAATGTGGGCTTCCTGATACAATTATTTATAGTCATGGTACTCTTAAGTATTCCTAAGTAGGGGACTGACAGTTTACACATAGGCACAAGAGTATGTGCATGTATCCTTATAATCTTAGTTAATATAATCTTAGTTAATAAATGTTTATAAAACAAAAACTTTCCCAGGGTAGCCATCCCTGAATCTCCTAATTAGATGGAGTACCTGCTGTGAAAACCAACAACAACCATGCTCATAAAATTCTGTATTTTTCTGCCACAATATTGATAACTATAATTAACTAATAAGACATACAATTGTTTAATATCCATTATCAACGCCATGCCCCCCCATACTGAAAACTCTACAAAGGCAGAGGGTCTGTCTCAATCGCTGGCATAGTCTCAACATACAACATGGTGCCTGAAACATAACTGGCACTCAACAGAACTTTAATAAATATATCAGTAAATAAGTGATACTAAGTAAATAACAAAGAAAAGACTTTGCTAATGCAATATACATCTACTAAAAGTTTATATTTTTGTATCTGTAATACATATTTTAGTATATATAGGTACAGTTTATATACTCAGTTCAGTTCAGTCTCTCAGTCGTGTCCAACTCTTTGCGACCCCATGAACTGCAGCACGCCACGCCTCCCTGTCCATCACCAACTCCTGAGGTTTACTCAAACCCATGTCCATTGAGTCAGTGATGCCATCCAACCATCTCATCCTCTGTCATCCCCTTCTCCTCCTGCCCTCAATCTTTCCCAACATCAGGGTCTCTTCAAATGAGTCAGCTCTTCGCATCAGGTGGCCAAAATACTGGAGTTTGATTTTTAACATCAGTCGTTCCAATGAACAGCCAGGACCGATTTCCCTTAGGATGGACTGGTTGGATCTCCTTGCAGTCCAAGGGACTCTCAAGAATCTTCTTCAACACCACAGTTCAAAAGCATCAATTCTTCTGTGCTCAGCTTTCTTTACAGTCCAACTCTTCCATCCATACATGACTACTTGGAAAAACCATAGCCTTGACTAGACGGACCTTTCTTGGCAAAGTAATATCTCTGCTTTTTAATATGCTGTCTAGGTTGGTCATAACTTTCTTGCCAAGGAGTAAGCGTCTTTTAATTTCACGGCTGCAGTCACCATCTGCAGTGATTTTGAAGCCCCTGAAAATAAAGTCTGTCACTGTTTCCACTGTTTCCCATCTATTTGCCATGAAGTGATGGGACCGGATGCCATGATCTTAGTTTTCTGAATGTTGAGCTTTAAGCCAACATTTTCACTCTCCTCTTTCACTTTCATTAAGAGGCTCCTTAGTTCCTCTTCACTTTTTGCCAGAAGGGTGGTGTCATCTGCATATCTGAGGTTATTGATATTTCTCCCAGCAATCTTGATTCTAGCTTGTGATTCATCCAGCCCAGCGTTTCTCATGATGTACTCTGCATATAAGTTAAATAAGCAGGGTGACAATATACAGCCTTGATGGACTCCTTTTCCTATTTGGAGCCAGTCTGTTGTTCCATGTCCAGTTCTAACTGTTGCTTCCTGACCTGCATACAGGTTTCTCAAGAGGCAGCTCAGGTGGTCTGGTATTCCCATCTCTTTCAGAATTTTCCAGTTTGTTGTGATCCACACAGTCAAAGGCTTTGGCATAGTTAATAGAGCAGAAATAGATGTTTTTCTGGAATTCTCTTGCTTTTTCGATGATCCAGCGGATGTTGGCAATTTGATCTCTGGTTCCTCTGCCTTCTCTAAAACCAGCTTGAACATCTGGAAGTTAACGGTTCACATATTGCTGAAGCCTGGCTTGGAGAATTTTGAGCATTACTTTACTAGCGTGTGAGATGAGTGCAATTGTGCAGTAGTTTGAGCATAATTTGAACATTATCTTTCTTTGGGATTGGAATGAAAACTGACCTTTTCAAGTCCTGTGGCCACTGGAAGCAGTAAAATTAACAAAATGTATAACAAAGGGACATACTTTATAACAGTTAAGCTGAAAGATAGTCTGCCACAATCACATACAGATGCACAAAAGTATAATGAAAATCTATATAGTTTTGCTGTTATTGTTGTTATTAAGTCATGTCTAACTCTTTGCGGCCCCGTGGACTGGAGCCTGTCAGGCTCCTCTGTCCATGGGATTTCCCAGGCAAGGATACTGGAGTGGGTTGCCATTTCCTTCTCCAGGGGATCTTCCTGCCCCAGGGATCGAAGCTGCATCACCTGCACTGCAGTCGGATTCTTTACAGTTGAGCCACGAGGGAAGCTCTCTAAATAGTATAAAAATAAACTGTCTAGATTTAAATCTTAGCTCAGCTAATGACTATGTTGTGTAACCTTTGGCAAGTTTTAAGTTTCAGTGTCCTCACCTGCAAAATGGGGGTAAATCATAAGATCTAGGATTGTTGTAAGCTTCAGATGAGTTAATATTAATATGTATCAAGTGGTTAGAACACTGCCTGGCAGAAAGCAGTCCCACAAAAAAAGTCAGTTTAACACACTATAATATTATCACTATCCCTATTACTACTACTATAAAAGCAGCACATTTAAAGCATGATGCAATACAGATAACTCCTAAGAACAGTATGTCTGTGATCAGAATGAAATCCATAGGATGGCTTATAAAGTGTCTTACTGCAAGAAATAAATGAGGGGGAAATCATCCAGTCACAAAATCTTCGCTAGAAAGGATAATGGAAATGGATGATTATGATTATAATAGCAATAACAGGAGAAACATGGCTCTGCTGTTAGCAATGTGTCTGTAGTAACACACGGAATATTCACAAAGATCCGGTTAGTTAGTGTTATTATCTTATTTACAAACCAGTTAACCAGCGCACAGAGCTTAATTAAACAGCAAGAAAAGGGGACAAGAAGGTTCTACTTCATGCTGTCCTGCTCTGCGGCCTCTCGACAGGGCTCTGACACTATAAATGTCTTCACTCACCCACTCACCGAAAGGTTAAATGACTTAGGTGCTATATCCCAAGGACTGTGTTCACAATTATAGATAATCTAAGATACAATTACCTGCCTTGAGAAGCTCACAGACTCAGTGGGAATAAATAAAAACCACACGTGTTACTGACATACACACAGGCAGGTAGCAAATACTGAATACTTATCATGTGTCAGGCACCCTGTTAAGTGTTTCACATTGAGTACCCATCCTAAATTAATTCTTACAGCAACTGTACAAAACCAGGTCCTATTTTCAGTTCAGTTTTAAAGATTAAAAAAAAAAACCTGAGGCTTAGAAGGATTAGGCCTCGGCTTTTCATTTCTTTGCTGCACTGTCATATCTTATTTTCTTTAGTTCAGTTAGAACAGTGTGAGCAAACAGTAGAAAGAGGATTTTTAGCTTGTGGGAGCAGAGGGGGTAAGCATCGTTTCAAATTGCATCTTGAAAAATAAACAGTAGTTCTTCTGTCTGAAAGTGGGAAGGGCATATCAGACAGAAGAAGCAGCATACGCAAAGTTATGAGAGCAAGAAATACCCTAGAATATTCAAATAAAAGAGGTAGTTCTATGCGAGTGAAGAGCAGGGGTATTAAAAGTAGGCAGTGAGAGGCAAGTCGTATATAGTAGGCTGGCTTCAGACTGAGCGAGTCTCTGAATGGCATACAAAGGAGTCTGCATCTTATTCTGTAGGAAATGAGGAGTCAAGGGAAGATTTTAAGAATCTGAGTGAAGAGCTGAGATACACACATCTTAGTGCAACATAATTAGCAGGCCGTACTAAAAGAAGTGATTTTATGTGGAGGGTCCAAAAGATTTTCAGCTACAAAAGGCATGCACTTCCAGAGTCAGAGAGTGAGAATTCACAAACAAAATGTTATAACTTATAAACAGAATTCTTAAAGGCTGCTGTTACACAAAGATTATAATCGCAAAAAAGATTATACTATTTGGCTGTTTTGTTAGTGTAAGCTGTCATTTTACAGAGCCTTGTCTGAGGATTAAGGAGACTTGGGTTCCAGATCTGTTCTGCCTTTGCATCACTAAATAACTAAAAGTATCTCATATATAAGATAAAGAAATAAAGTAACCATTTGCTTTTTTTTTTTTTCTTTTTGGCTTTGCTGGGTCTTTGCTGCCGTACACGGGCTCTCTAGTTGCAGCGCATGGGCCTCGGTGCCCCACAGCATGTGGGATCCTAATTCCCTGACCAGGGATTGAACCCATGTCCCTCTGCACTGGAAGGCGGTTTCTTAACCACTGGACCACCAGGGAAATCCCACCATGTGCTCTTATTTGGAAAACAAATGAAAAAATTTTTTGTAAGCTTCAGAAGAAATGTGAATACAGAATACTGAGTTACGTTTTGAACCAGTTGTTTTCTTTATTAGCAAAAGTTCTTTCCCAGATATGTTTCTTTATAATCTTTAAACTAAAACATTAAAATGTTCCTATTTCAAGAAGCACAACTGCTAAAATACGAGTGACTGGTACCCAAGTTAATCCAAATTCATATAGGACAAGTGACGGATAGATAAGATGCAATGTCTTATTCAAAATGGCTGAAAGACCAGCACTTAATTCTGCTAAAATTCTCTAACTTGAGTGTCAAAGTGAACAAAAAGTAGTTCGAAACGTTCAAAGAAGCAACTATGGTCAAGAAAATGTTCATTAAATATTTACCTTAGTAATAATCCTATAAGTAATAAAAGTTTCAATTGTAGTAACATGGCTTTCAGGTTCATCGACTGTAATAAAAAGATCTTTCAAATCTGGCTCATCTTCAAACTTGACTTGGTTTATCATTGATAAAGGGGATGTCGGCATCAGAGGGCTGAAGGAATTCATGTCCATCAGTGAGGCATCCTATGAATAAAACATTCAAAAATTAATGTTCAGGGGGAAAAGAGTTGAAATCCTCTTTTTCTTAGACACCACAAATACTAATCAAATATGTCAAGAACAAAAAGGATAGCTAGACTCCTGCTTAAATAAAGTATGTGGAAATATATGTTTATTTCTGTTTCCTCACAAAATCCCACTTTAAAAATGACAGTAAAGAAACAAACAAAAAAACAAGACAAAAATCATATAAAGGTACAAACTCTCAAAGTAAAAAAATAGGCTAAGCATGAAGCAAACTATCTTTTGGAGACTGGAACTCTGATGGTTGAGTGGTAACTGAAAAGCTACCACTAAAAAAAAAAACAAAACAGCTAAAGTAAACCTAGGATAGGATGGTTAACTGGGAAGAAGGAGCCATACTGATGACAGAAGAAGCAGAGGCACCAGAAACCTGTGGACACAGAATGCGGGGAAGCTAAATGAGAGGATTGGCTGGAAAGCTCATAAAAGAAAAGAGAGTTGGCACCTCAGATTCCCTCACATACCCCATGCAATCGGGTGACTTTTCTTCCCCAGTTTTGCAGAAAACTGGAAATTTACCAGAGTGCCTCTGATTTCAAGGACACCAGGTAGGGTGGAGGGAGAGACAGGCCCATGGGAGTGTCTTACATACTGGATGGAAAGATATCCAGTCCTTTCCCGTCATTTGGCCCCAAGAAAAGGGCAGCAAGATGGAAAACTGCACATAATAGTTGGAGGTTTACCTCTCTTAGCTGACCATTCCAAGAAAAAACGGACAGCCGCAGTGCCCTGGGGAATCAGCCGAGCTTCTGCATACTAACCCCACAAGGAAGCCCCTTCCAGGCAACACGCTGACTGTCTACCTGGCTTTTCGTTACCTGGTGCAGGAACCACCAAACATCTCAACATGTGGGCAGGCTCTGAGGTGAAAGATTCACACAGAGAATACGAGAGGCAGACAGAACAGAGAATAGAATGCTTTGCCAACAGAGGAGAGCATGAGAGGGAAGAATGATATCAAACTCATAAATGAAAACAGGTGTTATATTTTTTAAGAATTCAGAGAACAGCAGAGAAACCAAAAAAAAAAAGGCTTATGAAAGCTGAAATATGACGAAAGGATAAAAACTCAACAGAAAGTTCCAAAGATAGAACTCAGGAACTAAACTGGACCAAAAGAACATGAGAAGGAAAAGAAGATATTTTTTTTTTAAATTTTATTTATTTATTTATTTTTTATCACAACCATAGTGTATCTTTTTTTTTTTTTTTTTTTTACATGTATTCCCCATCCCGGTCCCCCCTCCCACCTCCCTCTCCACCCAATCCCTCTGGGTCTTCCCAGTCCACCATGCCCGAGCACTTGTCTCGTGCACCCAACCTGGGCTGGTGAACTGTTTCACCCTAGATAATATACGTGTTTCAATGCTGTTCTAATTAAAGGATCCAGACAGATAGAACCTGAGTGAAAATAATTCCAGAAAATGAAGAAGGTAAATCCAAACTGAAGTATTTCCAGATTGACAGGGTCTATCAGACCTCTTCAAAATGAACAACACATTGGTGGGGTGGGGAATGCTCCCACAAGCTTCCATTACCATGACATTTCATAATCGGAGAGGTTTTTTAATTCCTAAAAGCTTAGGAAAAAAATTTAGGAAAGCCTAAATTCCAGAAAGAATATAAACAGGCAAAATACAACAGGAACATCAGGAATCAGAATGCCTTCAGATTTCTCAACATGATAATAAATTAGTATCTTCAAAATTTTTAGAGGAAAATATTTCCTACCTAGAACTATTTATAGCCAGAAAAACAGTCATTCAAGTATACAGGAAAAATAAAGCCATTTCTGGTGTGAAAGATTTCAAAATCTGACTTCCCATGCATCCATTCTTTAGAAGACTTCGCTTTTCCAAAATAAGGGCATATACCAAGAAAGAAGAAATAGGATCTAAAAGCAGGAGATTCAACAGAGAAGAGAATTAAAGGAAATTCCTTGGATGACAGTGGGAGAATGTCCCAGGTTGACAGCTTTGCAGCAGACTTAGAGAACAACCTATACAGACAGGAGCTGAAAGACTTCACGAAGGCAAGGTTATAAAGAGGAAACAATAAGAGAGGGAGGAAGGGAAGAGAAAGAGGAAAAGAGGGAATAATAAGAGAGGGAGGAAGGGAAGAGAAAGAGGAAAAGAAGGAAAGGAGACTGACAATATCTGCTATATCTAAGCAAAATGAAAGGAAGCATGCCATGTTAGACTTTGTAAATCAAGTACGACTGATGCAAAAAATGTGAAAAGGAAGAGAAAACAAGACAGGGGAAAAAGGGAGGGCCTTAAAAACATGAATAAATGAATGAATGATGAACTCTAAGGAAAGCAAAACGTAAAGAATGAAAATGTAAAATCACAAGTCATCACAACCCTTGACTGTGAATAAAAATAAACTGTTCTTAATCCCAAATTTAACTAAAAATGGTGATATAGTTAGATTAAGATAGTAGGAAGAAAAGCATTAGTATGTTTGAGAAGAGGAGACGTGCTAATACCATGACAGAAAAGAAAGAAGACGAAACGTTCCAGACTGCTGACCACCATCTAAGAGACAACCGCCATGCAACACACGATCTTAGACTGGATTCTGTACCAAAGGAGGAGAACCTTTGAGAACCTTTGTTTTTTTCCTCTCTAAGAGCTATCTTTGGTACAACTGGAAAGTTTTGAAAGGGTCTGCGAATTAGAATATATTAATAGTATTATGTCAGTGTTAATTTCCTGATTAAGATACTTACACTGTAATTATGTAGGAGAGAGTCCCTGTTTTCAAAAATACACAGAGATTTAATTATAAGAAATAAAATATGTTTCCAATTTACTCAATTTACAGAGAGGCAGAAAGCAAATGTTGGGAAATGGTAAACAACCAACAGACCTAGATTCTTTGTGGCATTCTTGCAAGACTTCAAGTCTGAAATTATTTCAAAATTTAAAAATATATTCATAGTTTTCAAAAGTCAAATTATTCGACAAGGCTTAAAATAAAATGTAACAAATTAAAAATAAAAATGCAGCATCCCATGTTCTGGTATTGCTATTACCAGTTCATACTCCTTAGAATTAAATTCAGAACTCTTAGCTATATTTGTTCCTTGTTACATTCTTTATTTCAAAATAACACATATACTCTTTTTCTAGTTTTTCAACTTTGATATTATCAGTAGATTTCCTACGAAGGAGGATGAAGAGTATTTATTTAGCCAATTAATTATGAGTATAGACTCAGAGACCTATTTTACTCAACGGGTTATAATTCATTAATATAATTCATTGTGATGCTCTAAGTGTCCAAAATGCCTAGTAGGAGTCCCTTAAAACTGGCATCTGTGTGTTTATGATGTCTTCATTACTCCTTGAGCACTTTATTTTCAGGCACATCAAGATATTTCAGATTTACCTTATACTTATTTTCCCTGCCTCCAGTCATGGAATCAGACATTTATCCAAAGAGCTCTGGTTCCTTTAAGAGAAGACTGGAATTTAAGATATAAGCTATAAATGCTAGAAAATATATGCATGTTAGACATGATTTAGACCAAGGAATAGAAAACGAATCACAGTTGAGTTGATCAGACACACACAAAACATGGAGATAATAAATGTCTTGCAACAAAAGTTCAGTAAGATAAATTATAGTATATCCCTATGATAGAATACAATAAAGTCTATCCATATAATAGAATACAGTAAAGTGATTAATGTATTAGAACAATATATAGAAACTTGGGAAAAGGTTCACAGTATGTTATTAAGAGAAAGCAGCAGCTTATAAAACTTGTATTTAACTAGATTCTAATGCATGCATGTGGGCTTATGTGTTTCTGACAGAGGGGGGCCAGAGGGTATGAGAGGAAAAGTAACAAAGAGCAACTCATAATATGCATGTGCTCAGGAACTTGGAAGTTATACCAAAAAGTTAACAGAAGTTATTTCAAGTGTCGGGATTCCTCTTGAGTTTAATATTTTCCTGTCTGAGTTTCTATGTTTACAAATATTCTAAAATAAATGTGTATTATTTTGCAGAATGATTTTTAATTGTTGACAGTCAACACTGTATCTAATGTGTTCATAAACAGTAAGAACTATTGTAATGTTAAAAGAGTATCTAGGGCCATTTTGGCAGAAGACCTTGGATTACACATTTAATTGTATGATTTTTTTTTCTGAACTTATCGAAATTGTACAGTTAAAAAGGAAATTTAAAAATATGCCCAGAATCACAAGAAAATGGGATTGTCAAAATTATGGGATGCTAACACAATGGAATACTAAGCCGCTATTACAACAGAATTTAGAGGTTCCAAATAAACATGCAATCAGCAAGTACAAAAATCTCTCTCAATATTCATTTCATATAAATAATAGTTTTCTAAGCTGACAAATTTTAATTTGATGGGCAAATGTGCTTTAAATTTCACTGACAGTGCATACAACCATGTGCTCTGGCATTCTTTGTAGTCACCCTCTTGACTTACCACAACCCACTTCTTTTACCTACTACATAATTTAGCATTCTATTTCTTCTGCTTAAAATGCATCCTTTTGTAGCGTGGGAAAGATCTGCATGAATTTACAAAGGCTCACAATTCCAATGAGTGTAGTGTGGTGTCATAAAAATATGCTTCAATATCTAGCAAAGGAAGAAAATTACAGGCTGAAATTTAGCAACCTCCAAGATTTCAGTAGAAAGATTTAAATTACTATGAATCACTCAGAAACATTCTTAAAACCTCAATAAAACTGACTGTTCAAAGAGTTTTATATTCACTTCAAAGAAAAAGGAAAGAAAATACACTGAGGATACTTAAAAGATTTACATTTGGACATGAATAAGGGAAGAAAATAAGTGTTTGAGAAGATCCAAAGAAGTAATTAACCAAAAAGAACTCCATTTAACCTTTTGTGGTTGATGCTTTTCAGGAGAAATGGATCGTTAAAATTTGT